TTATTTTTCCTTTCCCTGCTTGCCCGGCGTTCGACCCGCTCCGCGCGCCCGCGTGCCGAACGTGTCCCCGCCAGCCCATGCAGAAACGATGCCGAGGTGAGTTGCCTCTCAGAGTCCGTCGGATGTTTCTTGGAAGCCTTCTGGAAGCTTCTCGGAGCGTCTTGGTGGCCTTGGCGGTCCTGGAGGCCTCTTGGAGCGCCTTGGGCGCCTCGGGGAGCCTCTTGCGGCCTCTCGGGGACTTATTGGGAGCCTCTCGGGGGCTTCTCGGGGCCTCCTCGGCGCCTGTTGGGTTCCTCTTGGGGCCTTCTTGGGTCGCTATCGGGAGCTCTGGAGACTATCTTGGAGCTGTTTTGGAGGACGTCGATGAGAGGAGGGGGTGGTCGAGATTTGCCCTTCCCATCGGGGGCCCCAAGAATCCCCTCCTCAACCCTTCTCGGGGCGCTCTTGGGGCGGTTTTGGAGCGCCCGTGGGGCGCCCGTTGGGCCGTTTCGAAGCTCTCTCGGGACCCTCTCGGGGCCCGCTCGGGCCATCTTGGAGCCATCTGGAGGCTTCGGAAGGCTATCGGAAGCGAGCGGGCGACAATGCAACAGTCATTGGTTTTCCATCGGTGTTTGAAGGATATGGGCTTCCTGGAGGCCTCTTTGGAGGTCTCGGGGGCCTCGCGGGACCGCCCTGGAGCGCGCCCCGCGCTTTGCCGGGCCATCTGGGGAGCCATGTTGGGCCATCTTGCGCTATATTGAGGCATCTTGGAGTTCATCTTGGGCTCTCTGACGTGCTCTTGGGGCCGTTTTGGACGAAAACACACCGCCTGGCTGCTCGCGCAAACCCCCGCCCAGGCCCGGGGGGGGGGGGGCGGGCGGGGGGGGGCTCTCCGAAGGGGAAGAAGCGGCGGGGAAAAGGAAACTGCTTAAACTACATATGCCCAGAGGGCCGGTGTGATTGTTTCCTCGCTACCAAACGAGTCCGTCGCAGGCGCGCATTTTCGGCGAAAGCAGAGTTGGCGGGTCGCGGTCGCGGGCGCTGACGACAACAGACGACATTAACAGTGACTTTCACGGCGGCAGCCCACTTCAGGGACGCACCTAGGCATGGCGCAAGACCGTTTGGCCCTCTCAGTTTAGTTTCTTGGGCGACGGGGCCAATCCCGCCGACGCGATCGGGAGGTGGCCCGAGGACCAACGCAGCGAAAATGACATGACGTGGGGGGCGCGGGGGAGGGGGGGTGGAGTATCAAAGAGGGGGGAAGGGCAAAGAGGGGCGAGGCGGAGGAGTGGGTGCGGTCGTTGTTGTTCTGCCTCATGGGGTGTCTTTTGGTTTCCTCCGCCCCGCCGTTTATGCAACCTTTTCGCCGCCTGCTCCCCGTTCTCCCCGTTGCGATCAGTCCTCCGCGGCACCCCCCCCGCATGGCCCCCGCAGCGCGAGGGCTGCGGGCCGCTTGCCCGCGCGTCCTCCAGAGCCCCCTGAGTTGCCCTCGTGACCACGGCTGCATTCGAAGTCGCCACGGCATTCGGAGGTCCGCGCGGATCTTGGACGCGCGCTGGCCCCCCCTGCCGGCGTCTCCGGCGCCACTGCTGTCGCGTCCCGCGCGACGCGGAAGGTTTATGATGCAGTATGGCGTTGGTTCTTCCTATTATGGATTTGCCCGATCCGCCGTGGGGCCACAGTCAGGGCGCGCCCCAGGAATGACCGCGAGGCCGACGGCGACGACGACGACGTCGACGACGACGTCGGCAGCGCTGGCGGCACATACGACTCATATATGTACTGGTGTGTTTATATATATATATACACACACTCACTGGCCAGCGTGGACCCCACATGTGCTTCTAGCCATATATTTTGTGCTATATATTTGAGGAGCACAATGTGTGGTGCAATCTGCGTTGTGCAGTCTATGTGGGGTGCGCGATGTGGCGCGATCGATGTGGTTGGATCTAAATTGTGCAAAGTATTTTGCGTGATATTTGTTGTGCGATCTCTGTTATGCACACGATGCGGTGCAATGCTGAGTACGACGGTGCAGGTTTGGCCGGTGGCGACACCTGCGTAGCTTTACCTCTCAGTCCACTGCGCGCTGCCGTTCAGGCGCGCGCGTCTCTCGGTGGCACCCCGATTGAGAGCGCGGGTTCCATCTCGTGCTGCACGGGCGTTCTTTTCCCGCGCGTTACCAACGTTTTCACCCCGAAGCACATTCGGAGACATTTAGTGGCCAATGCGCCGCCTGGCGCACGGTGTTCAGTTCAGTTTAGTGTCCCCCGCGGGGTGGGCATATGCTGACTGGTTCACTGGTGCGATCATATCTTTCTCTTCCTCTCTCAGGTTAGCAGCCGCGTTTGCTCTGCCCTCTGGGCCATGCTACCGTCATCGATCGACAGTCTCGGCGGGTTGCTGCATTGGCAAAGCTGCGTGCGTGGGCAGCTCCCCGACGCGCGTCGGTGGCAACACCCACATAGGTCAACGCGCCCATCTTCAACGCTTCTCGTGCGGAAAATCTCCACTGCTTCCCCGCTGTCGATGTTCGCATATACATATTTTCATATGTGTGTTCTCTACTCATCCATCGTCATCTTGCTTTCTCTAACCATAGATTGTTTCTGCGTCCCCCATCCATGTGTCCATCCCTCACTTGTCTTCTCTGTTATTCATTCCTGCACGTGCGCGTCGTCACCGTGCCCACGTTTATTTTGGAGCGCGTCGCGCGGAATGCTGCGCATTGCCGAGCAGGCCATCGCTCGACGCTGCGACGCATCTGACGCCGGCGTTGCTTGCAGGAAAGAACTTGTGCGATCTCTTCGCGGAATGCCAGCGCCCTGGCAGAGCGGCGCGATGCGCGGGCCCAGACTTGGCAGTTGGCTACCCGACTTCGGTTTACGTTTTCACCCCCGCGAGCGGCGAACCTCGCGCCAGGCGAATGCGTCGCTTCCCCCAGGCCCGACAGGGACTCCATGAGCAGGGGCGCCGAAAGGCGCGGATTGATCGCTTCCTTGCCCATCTGGGCCGCGCTCAGCTTGCGCGGCGCAAGTCGGCCTGCAAGCTGGGATTCTTTCTGCTCGCGCAGGCGATGCCGCGCATTCGAGCAGGAGCTTTGCTAGGCACTCGCTGCGGACCCATTTCTAATTTGAATTTCCTTCGCGGGTGAAGCTTGTCGTCGTCTTTAAGTCGCATGTAGAAGTGGGGTTGCCCTTCTTCTTCCTCTTCTCACTGCGGGCGCGCGGGCGCGGGCGCCCCCCGCCCCCTCCGCCCGGCCCCGCGGCCCCCGGGGGTCGCGGAAGAGAGAAGACGAGCGAGGGGTGGGCGCGCGGGCGGGGGGCGGAGATGCAATTGACGGCCCGGCATAGAGGAAGCAATCGGGCGATTGATGCGTTGAGAACGCGTTTTTTGAAACAACTCAGACAATGAGGGGGGGGGGGGGGGGGGGGGGGCGATCGAAACGTCTCTTCCGCGCGAGAAACGCCGAAGATCGGCCCGTCGACCTACGCGGGCGCTGCCGCCGACGCAGGGCGGGGGGCTTCCCTCGCATGCAACTTCGCTCATTAAGCCTCCTGCCGAGACTGTCGACGACGGTCGCATGGCCCGGAGGGCGATGCGAAAGCGGCCGATAACCTGAGAGAGGGGTGATCGCACGGGAGAGCCTTATCTGCGCAGGCCCGCCCCCTGGGGGGGCGCCGCCCGCGCTGTGAGTCGGGGCGCCCCCCGGAGACGCGCGCGCCTGAAAGGGCAACGCGCAGCGAGGTGAGATGTGGAGCTACGCAGGCGCTGCCATCGGCCAGGCCTGCACCGCGGCGCAGGCGCGGCAGACGCGGCAGGCGCGGCAGGCGCGGCAGACGTCGGCAACGGCGCACATGATGTTGATATTAAAGACGTTGGTGACGACGCAAACGATGACGACGGCATGGCCAATAGCGGCGCCGATGCTGACCCCGCCGATGACGGTGATGGTGCCAGCTGCCGGCGGTGAAGGTTGCGGGGCATTTTCGACATGCGCTTGCGGCCAACGGACGCGATATGCCCGCGCTGCATTAATTGAGAGGGACCGTGCCCCCCCACAAAAAAAAAAACGCACGCAAGGGCGTTCGAATGACTTCGACATGCGCGCGCGAGAGGCTCGTTCCATCGCATGTCATGACAAGTTTGAAAGAAGTTGTGGTATAAAAAGAAATCGCACAAGCGCGTTGCATGGCCATTTGCTATATACATATATATATATATATATATGTATGTATATATATATATACAGGTGTATAAACATGTATGTTTTCGGGGCATCCGATTTCGAAACCCTCACGAAACCTACGGTTGTTGAATGATGTCGGCATGCGCGCGCGACCACGCGCGCGTCTGGACCTTTTTTTGTTTCCCAATGGGTGGTTGCAACTAGATGGTTTTAGATGAACGAGTGCGTGTTCATATTGTTCGTGTTTGATGAGTGGTGAGGGTGTGGGGTGCAACCTGGCATGGTTTGGACGATATGGCTTCAAATGTAAACTGAGCGACGGGGCGGAGTCGCGCATGTATTGCACACTTTCAACCTGGGCCGATCAGTTTTGGGGGAGGAGGGCGGCGGATCCGATTTTTTCAAAAAGCGAGAATCATGCGAGGCCGCGACGCGGCGGCTACGGCGCGGAAGCGGCGACACCATAGCCGCCAGACCGACAATCTCCCACACGACGGGCGGCGACGACGCGGCGACGGGGCGGCGACGGCGACAACAGCCGCCAGACCGATAATAAGGTCTGGACGACGGGCGGCGACCGGGCTGCGACGGGGCGGCGACGGTCACCACATAGCCACACCAATAATGAGGCCCAGACGACGTGCGGCTACGAAGCGGCGACGGGGCGACAACAATGACAACATAGCCACCTGACCGATCATCAGGCTGGGGGATCGTTGTGGGCATCGAGTTGGCGCCCCCCGGTTGGGAGCGCATTTCGGTCATCCCCTTCCCCCACCGATCTTCGAATCGCGACCATCGTCCTTCGTCTTACGGCTGATGGCAGGTACCTTTCCTGGCACGTCCCGGAGCTGCGGATGCTCGCGAGCTTCCTGGAGCGGGTGCTGGCGCCCTTCTGGGACGAACACCCGGAGGCCGTGGCGGCGGCGCTGCTGCCCCACCACGCCTTCGCGGTGTCGGCAGCCTGCGCCCGGTGCGACAGGATATGCCGCTGCGCCTGTCGGGGACGAGTTGCGCCATGGGGGGAGCGGGTCCTGCGGGAAACGGGTCCTGAGGTTGCTCGCCGTTCTCGGGTTTTCGGGGCCATCAGCGGGCCGGGGACTGTTAGAAAACGACTCAGGAAGAAAAGCGTTTCCCGGGGGAAGGCACCAGGGTCGTTGACCCGTTTCCCTCAGGACCCGTTTCCCCCATGCCACGAAAGAGTGTCGGGGGCTGCTAAAGATGCCCCTGGCCCAAGGTGCCTCCAGCTTCTCGCTAAATTCGGGGGCCTCTGGGACCCTCTGGGCCTCGAGAGCGGTGCTCTGGCTGCCGTGAGGGCCTCCTTGGAAATCCTGAGGGCACCTTGGGTCAGGGGCACTTCTAGCAACGCCCAAGAGCCCAAGTGGGGTCCGAGTAGAGGAGTTCGGAGGTTCGCGCCGCATCGCCGATGCATCAGCGATGCGGTTCGATGTGGAGTTCCATTTTCTCCATGCCAGCGGCGCCGATGCATCACCGACATCGCCGATGAATCGCCGATGCATTGGTGATTATTTGGCGAAGCTGTGCGATCTTCCGACCTCATATACTCGGACCCCATGCGGGAGGCTTCTAATATCGGAGAACGAGATCTGTACCCAGACCCCGGGGCAAGCGCCAGTCTTCTGAGCAGGCGGCAGCTGCCGCTGACACCTTACATCCCACGTCGGCAACGAAGACGACGGTTTTCGGACGTTTTTGTAAGTCTTTCAAGGTTTTCTCGCCTCTTGGTGCCTTCACGCAGCTGGGCTTCGTCGGGAGCGTCCAGAGGTGCCTGGATCGTCCCGATCATCCGCTGGAGGCCCGAATTATGGTCCGAAAGCAAAACATCTTCTCGTCGTGAAAGAATCGCTGCGGACCGCTTTTGCAAGATTTCGGCCTCTTGGGACCCCCGCCAGGCCCCTGGACCGTAAAACTGCTCACCATGAAAAGCCCGTCCCGGGGAATAGGTCGAGACGTCGACGTTGTGGAAAAAGGCCCTCAAGAAAGCATGTGTCATCGTCAGGGTACCTGACTTCTCGCGGACGTAAAGAAGCTGCTGCGTCCAGGGTGCCCTGGGTTTTCCTCGAACCTGCGCCCCCCGTGCACTTCAAGGGGTGGGTTTCTCGCGAAGGTTTCTCGCGGCCGCGTCCGCACTGTATCAACTGCCCTTGGGCAGGCCCATCCTGGGCCCAGGAGCGGTGCTTCTGGATGTCTCTCTGGCCGAGTCAGAAGGGCGTGTCTAAAAAACACTGCATGAATAAACATAAATGACAGGATGTCCACTCGAATTTCTTGGATAGGCGCGGGACCCCCTCACTAGCGCACGGAGCGCGCCATGGGCCATGGGCAGAGCTGGAGGCACCGCCAGGGGGGGCCCAGCGAAAATCGACTGTTTATGTGTATGGCATGTTTTTTGTTGTTCCTCTAGTGTACGCCGCTCCTGGTGCCAGGATGGGCCTGGTCAGGGCGGCCAGGGGTAGTGTGTGTGTATATATAAGAAAGAGCGTGTTCTACCGCTGCTGGCGGAAAACCAGGGGGGGTCACTACCGGTTCGAACCCCTCCCCCCCCCCCCTCTGGAAAACCGGGGGGGGTCACTACCGGTTCGAACCCCTCCCCCCTCGCCCCCCCAGCTCATCATGAAAAGGGGGGGGGTCACTACCGGTTCGAACCCCCCCCCCCTCGAAAACCGAGTGGGGGTGCGGACAGAGGTGGGGACGGTGTTGGTGGGACAGTGGTGAGGGGACAGCGGGACAGTGGTGGGGTGGGACAGTGGGACAGTAGAGAGCCGGTAGTGGTGGGGACAGTGGTGGGGACAATGGTGGGAACAGGGGGGACAGTGGACAGTGGTGGGGACGGTGGTGGTGGGGACAGTGGTGTGGGCACAGTGGGAATGAGGTGGAAACAGTGGGACAGTGGAGGGTACAATGGTGGTGGGGACAGTGGTGAAGGCGGTGGCGAGGACGGCGGTGGGACAATGGGACAGAGGTGCAGTGGGGACAGTGGTGGGGACAGTGGGAACAGTGGTGGGGACAGTGGGGACAGTGCGACAGTGGTGGGGGCACTGGTGGGGACACAGTGGGGACAGTGGTGGTGAGGACAGTGGTGCTGGGAACAACAGTGGAGGATGTGATGCGGACGGTGGTAGGGACCGGGAGTCGTTTGCTGGCGGTGAGTGGGGGGGTGGGGAGGGGTTCGAACCGGTAGTGATCCCCCTCTGGTTTTCGAGGGGGGTGGGGGGGTTCGAACCGGTAGTGACCCCCCCCGGTTTTCCGGATCCGGAGGGGGGTGGGGGGGTTCGAACCGGTAGTGACCCCCCCCGGCTTTCGAGGGGGAGGGGGGGGGGGGGAGGGGTTAGGGAGGGGGGGGCTTTGCCAGGGGGGGGGGGGGGGGGTTTCCAGCAGGGAGGGGGGGGGGATTTTCGGAGGGGGGGGGGGGGCGACCCCCGGGCTCCGGAGGAAAGGGTTGGCAATTTTCCACAGTAAAGCGGCGGTGGATCACGCTCTTTCGTATATAAATGTATATTTGTATATTTGCATGTATGTATATTTGTATACACATATCTATATGTATCTGCGTGTGTGGATCTCTTGTCGTCCTGAGGATGCTCGCGCCCAGGGTGCTCCAGACAGTGCGAACGATGCTGCAGAGCTGGGCGCCCCTGAACATATCGGAGGTGCGTTTTAGAGGGGGGGGGCAGCCCGAGGTGGGGTCAGGGAGCGAGCCTGGCTTGAGGCTCGTATTTCCATTCTCCTGGGGCCGTCCAGAGTGATTTCCCTCCATCCTCGCTCTGGGCAGTGCCTACACCCGCCGCCGTGGTTTTTTCGCAGCGTGGCTCCCCAGAAGTCTGGACTCCGACCCCTTCCACTGGACTGGCTTTTCATCCTGGGTAGTTTTTGGACAGTCGGGGGGCCCGGCGAGGCCCCCCCGGAGTCCGAAAATTGATTGAAAATCCCGCCGTTAGCGAGAGGATGTCAGGGTGGCCCTGCCCCAAACTTGAGATTCGCTGTTGCGAAAAGAATGCAACATTGTTCGCTGTTTGATTTTTCGAACCGGGTCGATCCGGGAGGGAGGTTCCCGGGGCCCGAAATAAGGTAAAATCGCTGGTTGCGAAATAGTTGCGACGCGAGGATCTCAGGGGATGTCGGGGCGGCCCTGCCCTAACTCTACGTCCCCCCGAGCACACCGCGGCTCGGCCCGCGCGGGGTGGCGAGCACGGCGTTGGCGCTGGCGCGTGTGGGCCGGGGCCCCGCGGGGGAGGCGGCCCCCAGCTCCGCGCTGGAGGAGCTGCTGCGCCGCGCCGGCGAGCTGATCGACGAGGCGGTCGGGGCGTCGGGAGTCCGCGGAGGAAGAGCTACCAATATCGCCAGCCCTGCCTTGTTTTCATCTTGTTGGGGCCTCCCTTGGGGGGCCCTCGTCGTCACGGCTGGATTCGGCTCGAAGGTCTGTTCATGACCCACCCCGGGAGAGGTATGGGGAGTAGCGGTATCGGTTCTTCTTGGTTTCCAGTGGCGGGGCGCCAATGTGTACACTCATGCAGATCCTGGCCTGGATCGTCGTGTAGATAGTTGGCCCGAGGGACAAGTGCAGCACCAGTTTGGGAGGGGTGCTCTTGTCTTTTTCTTTCTTGGGCTTCCCGCCTCGGATTTTTTTTCGTTTTGGGTCAGTCTATATCCATGAGTCCATGGGCCTGCGGTGGGGGGGCTCATGTTCCTGATCCGCGTTCGTGCGGCCATGGCTTGACTGCGTGCCTTCCTGGCCAAACCAGGAGGGCGTGTCGACCGATCCTGTGCGAGATTGTTCCCCACCCGACAGGCAGCGGCTCCTACCACCCGGGCCTGCCGGGGCTCACGGGCATGATAGAAATTCTGTCCAAGCTTGTCCGTCCATGATGGCTTCGCGTAGGAGTTGTTCTGATGGGAACCAGATCTTGACCTTATCGTGCAAACACTTCGCCAATTCATTTCGCGGCCTCCCAGGAGACCGTTCAATAGTGGTTGCTGCCAGGAGGGCATTGTCAAGCATTAAGGTGAGCTGTCTCAATGCATCATCCTCGCTGCTGCGACATATTTCTCCAAACCACGCAACTTGGTTGCTCAACAAGTGTGACGTGAGCGGTGCTTGGCCAGACTGTTCCTATATGTTGTTTTGGAACTCCTGAAGTATATGGGTGTTTGAGGCCCACAATGAAACGCAGACGCCAGGTGTGGAATCCATCAAGCCTGCGTCTGGCGGCTTTGCTCAACCAGGCACTGCTCAGCGAGTACATCACTTTAGTTGTGATAAGAGCTCGAAGCACTTCCAATTTTCGCTTTAGACTGATTGATGCATGCTTCCACGCCTGCGAATACTTGTGGAATTCCTCCCATGCGGGTACCAACCTCCTGCCAAACTCTTGCTTTGAATATCCACTGTCGCACAATGTCGCTCCTAATTACTTCACCTGCGAGGGGGGAGTCATGAGCTTGCCGGACGGATCTGTGGTACGCAATTCACACCTTATTTACAATAATTGAACTGTATCCCAATGCAGCTCCATTCCCATGTTTGAGCCGGCGCGTGCAATTGAATCCAAGAGTTGTTGTAGATGTCGTTCGTTGCGCCCGGCTAGATTTGCGTCTTTTGCGTATAAAAGTGCCGAGAGGCTTCCTGACGATAGTGTTCGGGCCGCGTCGTCCGCCAGTCCAGGTACGTCTCCGCGTCTTCGACGAGCACTGTCATAACCATCACAAGCAGGAACGGCGAGAGTGGACAACCTTGTAAGATACTTGATAATTGTCCCCGTTCTTCTGACCTCCGGGACCCGTCTGCCACGCAGAAGCGACGAGAATCATAGATGTTCCTAACAATTTCAAGCATGTGCGGAGGCACACCGAATGCAGCAAGCCTTCGAGAAGAGCTTCCACGTTGATAGAATCGAAAGCCTTTTTCCGATCTAGCGCAAGTAGGGCCACGCCACCATCTCGAGCGGCATGTGCTAGTTCGATGTCTGCGGGCTGCGTGGACGGCGTCGGTTGTGCCTTTTTTTCCGTCTGAATCCATGCTGTGCCCCACTCAGTGTATGTTCAGCCCCTGCTTGTTGTAATCTCCGCCACAATAAACTCGCAAATAATTTGCACATGACGCAAAGTCAATAAATAGGACGATAGTTGGCGCACTGATCCACTGGACCCTTGTTCAGTAAATTGTGACAATGGCTGCGTGTCGCCAGTCTTCGGAAATGATTGTTTCGCGCCAGCCCTGGTTGATCACCTTCGTCATATTGACCAGCCGTTTGGGTGTATGTGCCAACGCCTTCCAACATTCCGCTGTGATTCAGAGGAGCATGAAGTATTAATATTAATAGTTTTCAAGATTTCCAGGCTTTCCTGTTCTTCCGCGCGGGCTACAGGGACGAATGGTCGAGCGCAGTCCGTCGCGCAGGTTCTTTGCGCGATGTGCGCGGTGCATCTTTCGCGCACCAGAGCGCCCTCGGAGATGTCAAGCTGTATGCTGTGTTGCTCTTTGGGAGTCTGCGAGTCGCAGCTGCCGTGGCGCTGTTTTCGAGGTGACCCCTTCGAGTGCTGTTCGCGGGCGCAACGCGCGGCGCGCGCTGCGCCCAATCGCGCGCGGCGGGGTGCGTGAATCAGCCGGCCGCGCCCGTCGGACCGCCCAGAAATTATTTCTGGATTGTAGAATGTTTCAGAAAACCTTTCAGTTTTTTGGTGCAGGCGGTTCCGGAATTTTTTAAAAAGGAGTCCGGAAGTTTTCAACAAAGAGTTTTTGAGGGGTGGAATGCGCCCGTCGCGCAGGACATCTGAAGAATGTTGAAATCCGGAAATATTCAAAATTCATTCCGGCATTTTTCAAAATCGACCTGTGAATGTTTCAAAATTGTGTCTGCTATTTTTAACAAGATAGGCCGGACATATTCAGCAATGTTCCTGGAGTTTTTCATATTTACCCCCGGAGAACTGTCCAGAGTCGCACGTGATTTGCCACGCCAGGTTTTTGGAAATCCGCCGAGGCGCGCGGTGCGCGGCGGCGGGCGATGGGACGGTGCGCCGCCGTCCCCCCCGCGCTCGGCAACGAGAGGGGGGAATCAGCAAGTGCCAAATAGCCCCTACGGGCGACCACTCGAGTGCGAATGGGTGACCGACCAGCGGCGCCAGCCAGAGTAGACAATACTCGACGCAAAATATACCCCGCGCGAAAATTGATAGAAATCCGGGAATTCCCGGAACGTGTCAATAGCACGTTGTGTCAATAGACTTTTCTCGTCCTAGTGATGTAGTCGGGCCCTGACGCCTTCTGTTCCCTTTATTTTGGATATCACCACGCCCACCTCACGCTCGGTGAAGTCGTCCTCTGTGATCGGTAAAACCAGCCCCAGGGATATGTTGAACATGTGTTGTACTAGAGCATATATGTATACGTAGCAGACAATCAGATACCGTGCCATATCCTAATATCATGTATTGACCGTGGCTTGCAACCGAGTGTAATACAGTTGACAACATTTTTTCTCCGCGGTCACTTGTTCCATCCACTTCCTCTGCCGTATTTGTGCACGCGTTGTTTCAGTACGCGGGCGCACCGTTGCGGAAAAGTTGCCGAAGATTTCGGTGGGGATCCCTCGACTTTCCATTCGGTGAACCCGTAACGTCCGGTACGGGCGGGCGCCCCAATGTATGCCGGGGGGGGTCCCCCACAAGCATGGCGCGGTGCACAAAAGCATACCGTGGTGTTGGCAGGCATGTTTTGGTGTGTTCACAAGCATGCTGTGGCGCTCGCAGGCCGGCCCTCACCCCTTTTCCCGTCGTAACGGACCTTACGGCCGGGGAGGATACAAATTAAATGTCTGCCTCGGATGGGCTTGGCCAGGATCGGTGTACAGTGTACAATTCGCGTCCTCTTGGAGGCGTCGGGAGGCCCTCCGCCGTTCAGGCCCGACTGGTTCGGCATGCTCCTCTGTGCGCTGGCGCGCGCGCGCTGTCGAGGCGAGGCCGGGTTGCTGCTGCGCTTGCTGGCGGCGCACTTGCCGCTGCGGGGCGCCGGGCGCGCCAAGGACGGGGCGGAGGCGGGCGGCGTCGATTGGGTGCGGGAGGTGCAGAACTTGGCGCTCGCCGCCAACGCGGCGGTCAAGCTGGACGTTCATGCGGACCGCCTGGACGCAGCGGGCACCACCGCGCTGGGCGCCGTGGCGCCGCTGGCCGCGCTGTGCTGCAGGAGCGGCGGCCTCCAGGTCAGCGGGCGCCAACTACACATACGCCGCTACTGGTCAGGCCCATCCTGAGACCAGGATCGGTGTCCGTCCCTCCTGGCCAAGCCAGGAGGGCGTATGTACCGACCCTGGGCCCAGGATGAGCTTGGCCAGGATCGGTCCATGCGTACTGCTGGCCCCCTCCTCCCAGGGAGCGCACGGGGCGCGGTCTGCCAGCCTCCTGGCGCACGCCTTCGGCGTGGGCCTCCTGGTGCGGCCGCCGCCGCCGCGGGCCGCGCTCGCGGCTGCCTACGTTGACGTCCTCGGGCAGCTGCTCGACGCGTGCAGGTCGCTGCCCGTGAGCGGCATCCGCGTGCGCTTCCAGCTGCTGTCGGCGCTGCAGTGCTGGTGGTGCGTTGCGGGGGCCGCGGCGACGCTGCCCGGGCTGCGGGTGGCGCGGCGGCTCCTCGGGCCCCGCCAGCGCGGCGGGGTACCCAGCGCGGTGGAGTCCACGGAGGGCCAGGCTCGGCTGCGCGTAAGAGTGGCCCTTCGCCGGAGTGACCTTTGGTGCGGGGCTCTCGTGGGGCGCGGGTGTGGTCTTGACCCTGGCACGCGGGCCGCCATTGTCGCGTCGCGTGTGGGCCCTCCGATCTTCGAATGCGGTGCGATAGAAGCTGCCTGTGCGCTTGGGTTTGCACCCCGGGCAGCAAAGTTTACTCTTGTCTGAGCAGGGCCACTCTTGCGTGTAGCCCACAGGAGTGGGTCTCGACGCAGGACCACCAGGAGGTGGCGCGGGCGCTGCCCGCAGAAGCCGCGGCCGGCGCCAGGATGGAGGAGTACGCGTTCCCTTTCTGGATAGACGTGGTGCTGAGGCCCGGGGGCTCGCCGCCATCGCCGTCGTCGGGTTCGTCGTCGGCGCCGTTCGTGCTGAGACCCAAGGGCTCGCCGCCCGCGCCGTCGAGAGACGCACCGCGCGAGGCGAGAAAAAAGGCGTCCTCCTGTCACCTGACGCGGAGTTCGGAGGGGCTGTTCTGCTTCCCTCTCCACCGAAACTGTCTAGTTGCCTTCGGTTCTTCCTGCCAACGTGACTGGGTTGTGGACTACAGGCCTATTGTCGGCGGTTCAAAGATGGGGCTCTGAGGGATGGGGCCTTCGGATAGGACGGGATCCAAGGTTGAATGTACCTCTTGTTTGAGGAGGCTCTTTCTGACGGCCCGATCGCTCATGTGCCCATGTTTGAACCCCAGGGAGGCCTCTTCGGCTTTCTTGGGGACCTCTTGAGGGCCTCTTGCAGGCGTCCTGGAACCCTCCTGTGAGCCTCTTAGCTTGGGGGAGGCCTAGTTGGGGCCCCATAGGAGCTTCTTAGGTTCTCCTGGGCGCCGCTTGAAGCATTTTGGGTACCTCTTGGGGGTCTTCAGGGCGCCTCGTGGGAGCCCTGCTGGAGGTCTTGGGCATATTGGAAGAGAAGCTTCAGGTGTCCGTTCGCAGCGCGCTATCGGGGCCCCTCATGTGACTGTCTTGGAGGCCTGAGCTCCTTGCGCTGACAGCCATGAGGGCCGTCTTGGGGCGATATCGGGAGTCTCTTGGGCTGTCTGGGACGTTCTCAAGATTGAAAAGGTGATGATTCGAATCTCACGACATGCTCTGTTGCATTTGTGAGTTTGGGCTCCTGAGCCGTCCCCAGAACCTCCAAGGCAGAGACTCCCGATATTGCTCCAGGACGGGCGATTTGGACCATCTTGAGCGCTGTTGGACGTTTGGATTCCCCAAAACCCACGGCGTATTCGCATTGCTCTGTGCTTCTTTTTATTCGTGGCATCTTTCGTCTTCCCCGTCGTTCTCCTTCTGTCCATTCTCGCACTCCGTGCTGCTTTGCCACCCGTACGTGCCCTGCATGTCGCCACTTTTCTGTTATTGCTCCTCACGCCGTCTGCCCTCTGTTCCGCAATAGCGTGGCGTCGGCTCGAACGCGTTCGGCGCACGGACGAGTGCAATTCAGGCTGCGTTGCGCGCTTGCTTCGTACGCGGATGTGGTCCACATCCTGATGAGGTAACCAAATGTTTTAGCCAACCGTTTCCCGTGCCTTGAGTCAATGCTTGTTTCGATACCAGTGTGTGTACATGTTTGTGTGCGTGTGTTTCGGCATCTGCGCGCGCGTGTGTCTTTGTCTCTGTCTGTGTCTGAACGTCCGTCTGCTTTTCTCTCTCTCTCTCTCTCTTTCGCTCTCTCCGTTTCGTGCCAGGGCTTGTTTGCGCTCCTCTTAATCTCCGTGTGTCTGTGTCTGCGTCAGTGTGCTCGCTTGCCTGTCCTTCCATGTCCGCGGTTCGTCCGTGTCTGATGGGCACGCGTGACGACCAGCGGCCCGCCAGCTGAAGCGCGGTGCCGTGCGAGCGATCCGCGCTCGGCGCCAGTCACCACCTGTACGTGCTCGGCACGTGCGAGTGCGAGACAACCATCAAACAGGACCGGCGGCAGCGTCTACCCTCCGTCGCCACCCCCGGGCGCGAGTGCGAATGATTGGCTTGCTTAGCGCGTGCACCCTTTACCTTGTCGGCGGGGGTATGAGAGGGTTTCCAGATGCAACGTTCGGGGGGACAGGCTCAGGATGGGATACAACCACCAATCGCGCATTTATCGCCGATAGGGGCCCGACAGCCCACCCCGCCCCAGGACAGTGGATTCGCTATCGGTGCCTATTGCCGATCTATCGGCGATGTGTCGTGGATTCCAGGCCGATGTCCCCCCCCCCCCCCCGAGACGGTCTCCCCTAAAGTTCCCCCCAAGGGGGGGGGGTAAGGAGGAGAAGGAGGAGGAGGAGGAGGAGGAGGAGGAGGAGGGGTGGGAGGTGGTGCGGCGCGGCAGAGGGGTGGAGGAAGGAGAGGGCGTGGGAATCGGAGGGAGAGGGGGGGGGGGCGCGGCGGCAAGCGGGCGGAGGGACAATGGGCGGGATACGTACGCAGCGGGAGGACGCGTACTCTCTCCGCCGCTCGCCAGCCCCGCTCCGTCATCGATCCGGGGTCCTCGAACCTGGATCCTCGAACCTGGATCCTCGAGCCCGGACCCTCGACCCTGGATCGGCCTCGTGACCCCAGCGCCCCAGTGCCTCACCCAGAGGACTCCACGACCCGAACGCGATCTCAAGGTAGCTCCTATGCATGTGTTGGTAGTGGGAATCGACGGATACAGATCGATACAGTAAATAGGGACGCATGTCTTGGCATCGCTCGGACGTAAACATTTTTCTCAACGATGACCATCGATGAGCATCTTGAACCATCCCTCTAAAGAGAGAGCGCACGCAACCGAAACATGCACGGGAAACGGACGTTCAAGCGATGGCGAGATGCGTGTATATTCGAAAATGATGTGTATAGTTGCATCGTATATACATATGTAGCTCGTATGCGTGTCTGCCTACATGTATGAATGCATGCATGCATGCAAGTAAGCATGTGTGGATGTATGTGTATGTGTGTATGCATGCATGTAGATAGGTAGTTAGGTAGGTAGGTGTGCATGTATGTAACTATGAGTGTATATGTGTGTATGACTGTAAGTATGCATGTATGCATGTAGGTATGAACGTGTGTATGTATGTATATATTTATGTATGTATGCATGCATGTATGCATGCATGTATGTACGTACGTACGTACGTACGTATGTATGTATGTATGTTTGTATGTATGTATGTATGTATGTGTGTATGTATGTATGTGTGTATGTATGTATGCATGTATGCATGCATGCATGCATGCATGCATGCATGTATGTATATTTATATATATATATATATATATATATATGTGTATGGATGCATGGATGTATGCATGGATGCATGTATGTGCGTATGCAGGCATGCATGGATGTATGCATGTATGTATGTGCATAGATGCATGCAGGCAGGCATGTATGTATGTAAGTGTTTATGTGTGTATGTATGTGTGTATGCATGCATGCAGGCATGCATGCATGTATGTGCACACATATATATATATATATGTATACATATATATATGTATACATATATATATATATATGTATATTCATGTACTGCGAAGGCCTTACGGCCGGTGCCACCGACCCTGAAGGGGGACGACGGCGGTGGCGAAGACGACGACGCTTACGCTCTTGAGCCATTCGTGGGACCTCTTGAGCCTCTTGGGCCCTGTTGGGGGGGCCTCTTGGGGAACTTCTTGGGACGATCCGTGGTCACTTGGAGCCGCCCTTGCAGCGGATCTGAGGCCCCTTGGAGGCCTGAGGGGAAATACGCAGCACCCCGCAACAGCAGATAAGAGTGAGGAGGGTGCCTCCGGGGGGGGGGGTCCAGGAGGATGGTGGGGAGGGGGTCCCCCTGTCCACAGGGTCCACAGGGGGTTTCCGTTGTCCACAAGGGGTGCGTCGCGAGAGGAGATAACATTCCCGAATCCAGGCGTCCTACAAACTTCGGGGCTGCACAACACGTTCGCAATGGTTTCAGTATTCGCGTGCTCATGCATAAGAATGCCAAATGCGTGCACATCGGACCTCGTAATTATGACGTTCTTTGGTTCCGAAGTTTTGGCGCAAGATGCCCCAGTGGCATCCATGACTTCCATCGAGCATTCCTTGCAATACGGGCTCTTTCTCAATATTCGCCACATGGGGAGGCCGGCTCAAATTCTCCGTTTACATCGACCTTGGGACGGAGTTGTCCGCCCCGTGTTCAGACATGCAGACAATGAGATCGAGAACGGATTTGCAAGTAGCAGCAGGGAGCAGCTCGCTTCGTGCCGTTCAAAAACAGGGGCGTCAACAGTGATGTTTGCAGGTAGCCTATTTGTTTCAAGGGTTCTCGCACGTTCGGGGAGGATTCGCATCTTCTGGGACGAATTGATTGTGATTCTGAGCATGACGCTCTGGCTCGTGGGCAGTGCCTTCCCCATAAAATATTATTGAAGATGCATGCGGCGAGCCACCGCTGCCGCCTGCCTTGGTGGAAACGCCTATGCGGTCAAACGTTGGGCCGAAGCCTCGTCAAGCTGTTGGACAATGTGCTTCCTGGCCGTTGTGGAAATCCTCGGGAACATTTGGGGGATGAAGGGGGAGAGAGGAGAATGAGGAGGCGGATGAGGAGGAGGGTCTCCTGGCGGCCTCTTGGGGGCGTCTCTTGGCGGTCTCCTGGGGCGTCTTGGAGGCCTGTGGCGGTCTGTTGAGGGCTTCTCTTGGGCCGTCTTATGGCTTTCGCTGCCCGTCTGCGGTTTTCTGAGGCTGTCTTCGGGGCCTCCCTTGGCTATTTTGAGGCCGTGCTGGGGCGCTTTATGGCCGTCTCGGAGTTCACTTGGGCCATCTTGGGGCCGTGTCGGAGCATCTTCGGCCGTCTTGATGCCTTCTTGGCCCGCCATGGGGTCCTATTGAAGGCCTCTTGGGCCGTCTTCGTGTTATACTTGTACTGGAGGCGTCTGGTGACGTCTTGGGCTGCCAGAAGCCCGAAAAGGCGAGAACACGAGAATCATTCAAAAACCTCCTCGGGGTCTGTTGGGTAGCATATTGGAGCAGTCTTGAGGCTATCTGCACCCTTCTCGAGATCAGATTGGATCGTCGCTGAGTCGTCATGTCCGACTTGGAGGCCATCTTTGCTGTCTTTGAGGCGCATTGGGCCGTCTTGCAGGCCATGCTGGAACGGTATTGGGCTGAAAAGCCCACGGGCTATCGCTTTCGGGGTGCCTCTCGGGTGGCTGGCAGGATCGGCCGAGACCCCACGGTAGACCTCTTGGAAGAGTCACGAAGTATTCGAAGGTGTGGCGCGCCAAGGATCCCCCTTGCCAGCAACAGGGAGCGGAGGATTGAAGATGGCGACGGCGAATCACCGGCTCCCCCTTGCCTTTGGAAGCGCCTTTGTGGATCGACGTCGTGGCAAGAGCTTGGCAACGCTATCGGACAGTGTGTTCGCCCCGGCCGTTGCGGGAACCTTTTTGGGAGCATTCGCAGGAGGAAGAGAGGGAGGGGGAGGAGGAGGAGGAGGAGGAGGACGAGGAGGAGGAGGAGGTTTTCTTGGGAGCTCCCGGGGCACTCTTGGGGCCTTCTTTGGGCTCTTGGGGGCGGCGGGCGTTGTGCAATTTCCACTCGCTTTGGTCGTTCCGACGTGCCTTGCCCGTCGGAAGCCGTCTTGAGGGCCTCTCTTGGCCGACTTTGGGGCCTTCTTGGGGCGCTTCAGGGCCGTCTTGAGATCCGATTTGGGCTGTCTCGCGGGCCCCTGAGGCTGTCAAGTGGCCATCTGGGAGGCCTTTTGGTCGCTTTGGGGGCCATCTTGGTGGCCTCTTGGGCCGTCCTGGGTTGTCGGAAAACCGAAAATGAGAAGCGCCAATTTCTTTCGAATGCCCACGGGTAATTACTAATTTTGGCCTCTTCGGGTCTTCCTGGAGATCCTCTTGGTGGCCTCGTGGAACCCTCTTGGGGGCCGTCTTGGGCCGTCTTGGGCCATCTTGGGCCGTCTTGGGTGCATGTTGGCCCGTCTTGGCCATCATGGGCCATATTGGGCCATCTCTGGCCGTTTTGGGCAATTTGTTGGCCGTCTTGTGGGCATGATGGGGCCCTCTCGGGCTCTCTTGGAAACACTGTAGCCGTCCTGAGGGCTATTGGAGGCCATCCTGGCCGTCCTGGAGGCGAGTGTTCTCTTGCACAGGGTGTCTAGAGCTCCGACCACTTCATTCTGCGTCGCCCCCCCCCCCCCCGCGTCCCCAGCGCCAGAGTGTCACCCCCGCGCCGCGGCTCCGTGCCCTGAGCCCCCCCGCGTCCCCAGCGCCCCAGCGGGAGCCCCGCCCACTGCCCCCTCCGCCACGAACGCTTTATTCCGCGTCGCCCCCTCCCCCCCCTCCCCTCGTCCCCAGCGCCAGAGTGCGACCCCCGCGCCGTGGCTCTCTGCCCCGAGCCCCCCCGCGTCCCCAGCGCCCCAGCGGGGGCCCCGCCCACTGCCCCCTCCGCCACGAACGCTTTATTCCGCGTCGCGACGCACACCACCTCCCCCACCTCCCTCCCCGCGTCCCCAGCGCCCCAGTGGGGGCTCCGCCCCGTGCCCCCTCCGCCCCGACAATTGTATTCCGCGTCGCGACGCACACCTCCTCCACCCCTCCCCTCCCCGCCCCCAGCGCCCCAGTTGGACCCCCGCCCCGTGGCCCCCTGCCCCAAGCCCCGCCCAGTGCCCCCTCAGCCCCGACCATTTCATTCCGCGTCGCGACGCACACCACCTGCCCCCCCTCCTCTCCGCGCCCCCAGCGCCCCAGTAGGACCTCCGCCCTGTGCCCTCTCCGCTCCGAGCACTTTATTCCGCGTCGCGACGCACACCACCACCACCACCACCCTCCCCACCTGGGATTGGGGCACCGTTGCTGGGCCCCGAGGGGCGATGTCTTGTCCCCTCTTCCCCCCTCCTCCTCCTCCCCCTTCCATTTTGGGCAAGAGCCATGGCACACGTGCCACTTGTT